ATTTTAAGGCATTGACTTGCGTTATTGACAGCAGCGATCAATGCATTTGGACCCTGAGTTTATCAAGTAACTTGGAGTTACATGTGATCAAATGATTAAGGATCTACGGTTAGTACCATGGAGCTGCTGAGTGGTTTTATTTGAAAATTGAGTGTACAAATAATTAATTTACTTATCAAATAGACATAGGTACCTATTTCTGTCAAACGGAACTATGTGCATTATGACGTGAGCCCTGTTATGCATATTCTTATTGGTCTCAAGGCTCATGTCTCAATGCACATAGTTCCATTTGGCAGAAATACGTCCAAATAGGGCTTTGAGGCAGTTAAAAATAGGGTAATGGTAATATAAGTAAACGGTATTTGGAAGGGCAGAAAACGAACAGAACATGTTGTTTGGGTACCTACACCTCACTGGTAGGTTCCAGCATAATGAGGTGACGGAACTGACGAATCGAGAATAACTTTATGACATTTTTCTATTTTCTCATTTGTTAAGAGTGGTAAAATTTAACTTTTCTCTAATCGGTGAGTTCGTCGAAGGAAAAATTCAAAGCATATGGGGTATGTGCTCTTCTTTCGTTCATATGTATGTACTTGTACATTCTGATTAATTCTGATGCACCTTATTTACTGTTTCACTTTTTCTTGCATTATCATTTATGTACTTAATTTTTGTTCAACCTTTTGCATGCGAGTTAGCTTTGTCATGGGTATATGCCTACCGTATTGAAAGTTATTTTACAATTTTAAACAATTTTGGAATATGGGTATATTTCTTCACATTTTTGCCGGGTTGTTTGATAATTACACTCATATCGAATTTTTGCGATTTTTTAGGAAAATCAATGATATATTGGAATTGAAATTGGTTATTCTCCATCCGAGAACGACCAAATTTTGGGTTGGAACACATTTCCGGTCGGGTCGATTTCCAGTTGGGTCAAGTTTTCGACTGAGTTCAAGACTGAAAAAAGGATTTCACACTCAAAGTTCCTTATCAGATAAGATTTAGTTGGTCATCGATGCTCCATCCATCCATACTTTACGCTTTCCTAATGGACCAGTGGACAAAGAACCTTTTCTTCAATTTTGATTATTCACAGTTAATCAACGAAAGCTCATTTTATCCGTGCGAAACTTTTTAAATTCACAACCGCTTTTGAGTAAGTTGCGATCTTATAAACGGCGACTCTTTCAGTTTCGCTTCAGAATACGATGACCCAACCAAGGGACTTAAAATACACAATCTGATCCAGCCACCTGCGCTCTCTTCCTTGAAATAAGACGTAGAGACCAAAAACAAGCTTACTATTTTTTCTAAGTAATATTCCTCGGTTTTTTTCGAATATGCGGCTCGATTTAAAATCCAAAATTATGAACTTTTTGGTCAACATCGTTGTACAAGGCCACTCACAATGGATACAGAAGAGCGCCTTCAAATCAATCCGTAAACTTAAAGCAAAATTCCGATACCACTATTCGTGCGTCACGGCAGTCATTTTGCATACCCGGCCATTTGAAGGCGAATCATTGACCTCAGGCAACGGGGTACGAATTACAGCAATGTCATTCGAGGTGACCCGCCTGCAA